AAAAAAAAAGTCAGACAATGGTGAAAAATGTTTTATTTCCTAATCTAACAGCCCCAGACCCAAAGATACTTAAGATATACATACATATATTTTACTTGAAACACTATATTTTGACTCTGTGGTATTTTTATTTTGTGTGAAATACTTTTTTATTAGGGATGAGCGAGTACACCGTTATCTGTGTCTGTGTCTGTTCAACCTGAGACCTAAATTATCTGTATCTGTACTCGTTTATGTCAGAAGTGGGTGTGGTATAAATCCAAAGTGGGTGGGACTTAATCAGAAGTTGTTAGTCTATAGCTCCTTTCACACGGCCAGATTTTTGGCGAATGTTGGGCCGTTTTGCCAGAAAGCTGCGAGCGTTTAGACACACAGAGCTGGATTGGCTAGTTGATCTTAGGTGCCCAATTTTCCGCCTCATAGGGTAGACATATTGGTGGAACCCTTTTAGTTTAAACAAACCGAGGTGCCCTTCCACAACAGGAGGGGCTGTTGATGACGCCACACGTGCGAGCCACTGGCGGTGGATAAACAGGAAACAGCTGATGGCAGGAATTAGTGAGCAGCTAGTAGCAAGAGGGAAACACAAACCTGACAGACACTGTAAAGATGAGCAACTGGGGAGACAAGGAATTGCGCGCCTTCCTTGTCCTCGCAAACGAAGAGGCCATTAACCGTCAGATGACGGGGACGGTGAAGGACGGGCCGACTTATGAGAGAATCGCCGAAGGACTGACCAGCCGCTGCTTCCCTCCCACGTCACTGTTTACGTCACACTCTGAGCTACACGTTTTGTTACTTGCTCACGCCCCCCATTGCCCCGAAAAAGGCACATTCTGTATAAACAAAAGTAGGTAGGCGGCATTTTGCTGCACTCCCTGATTTTGTTTTTATACTGCCAATGCTGAAAAAACACTGATTGGGCTTTCCTGCAAATTTGCACAATTCCTGTTTAAAAAGGGCTTAAGCATGAATTTTATAGGAATTGATCAGAAGTTGCAATATTTATTACCTAAGCGAAAAGTATTTATAGAACAGCCCCAGAACTGAGCTTCAGATTATTATTTCTTATTACAAGAGTAACAGATTAAACACAGCTACCAAAATGAGGATTTCCTTCATTGTGAATACAGATATTGGCACATTTTACTCGTGTGATATGCATACAGCAAGTGCATTACCTGCATCTTTTTAACTTGGGTTTTTATATGGTAAGCCTTTATTTTTTTGCAATATAGAGCTAAAAGTCACTCTCTGTAAATAAAAATATGCTGTTTTATTTATTTTGTCTCATAAAACACGTCACATTAGGACAAAGACAGAACACATTTAGGCAGCAGGACACAGGGTCCATGTGTTAGAGTAAAAAGTAAAAAACAATGATATAAAACAAACACAATAGGGAGGTAATAATTTTTATTTTAAGTTATTTTATTTTGTTAGACAGTCATGCATCACTTCCTGTTTGTTGGGCCTGAAGATACAGTGAAACTCTACCTGCTGTCACACCTGTGTCATCAACTCAACCTGACGTTCAGACACAGCGAAGGCCACGCTGAAGCCTGATGTGTAATTTTTAATTTGTCATTTGTTTAATTAACAACCCTCCAAGTCATGTTCTGCTTCATGAGCTGACACTCTGCTCAACAACAGCTTGTTTTGGCACATTTTCAGGGTTGAGTTAACATTCAGTTTTGTGCAGATCTCCTAGCAGGCGAGATGTTTGGCCAATTAAGCGTTCAATGTGGCGTGATGACAGAGAGGCACAGAGTGGCGGAGAGGCCACTGGCACATCATTAGACATTACAAAGAAGGGGCCACAAGAGGGCAACAGCAGGCCGGACACTGCTGCACACTGAGGGTGACTGACAGTGATTTAAATCTAACTGAACCTTTGGAGGACAGAAAATAATTCTCTGAGACACAACAACCACAGATCAATAAATCAAAGTGTCTCCACAGACGCTCATTTTAGTACCCTGACATGACGACGTCTCGTGTGAGCAGAACATGAGTGACATGAGTGACAGTAACAGCTTTGTTGCTCCACTGACCGCTCCAGTAAATGGCTTAAGGTTAACTCTTGGCTACGTTTTCTGAATAATAGAATTACATAATCATTATGGGCTCTAATTGCACGGTGCACGCAGGCCTATTGGATTTGTATTGTATTGTACATAATAAGTGCAGCTGTTTAGCTTCAGGGGAAATAAAGGACCAAAAATAGATCTATTAGAAAGTATTCCCATATGGTGCATGAATACAAGCTCTTTTGTGGCGCATGTGTACAGTCAGGGAGGCAGCAGAGGATTCATCAGACACGGAGAGGAGATGTGATGATTTAATTGGTGATTGTAGAAGATTAAAGTGTTGTAGAAGAATTCAGACCCTTAAGTAAAAGCACATGAATGTAGAAATGCTTCATAAAAGTCCTGCATTCAAGTCCTACTTAAATACATTATCAGCAAACTGTAGCTACTTCAAGTGCTGAAGTTAAAGCACTCAGCCTCCATTAATGATGTCTGACTTCATCAGAGTGTTTATACTGATGCATCAATGTAAGAGCAGCATGGTGCTGTTGTAGCTGCTCCAGGTGGAGCCATTATGATCTACTTTATATTCATTTAGCCTTCCAGTCTATTGGTACCAACAGAACCGTTTCGTTTCACTGTGACAACTTTGACCGTCACTTTAGTTTTTATATGACACATACTTTTAGTAATGACTTTAAAAATATAGATTAATTTGGAGCAGATTATGTGAAGGTCATATATTCGCTTTTTCGCTATTCACTTCCTGTGGGCTACAGCAACACTAAACCCCTGAGCTTGCCTGAGAAGGACTAAATGCACAAAGCTGCTATTTTTAAATATCCCATGGAGAGAGACTCTCACTGCAGCCTGTTCTATTTTGTTGTGAAAATGTGGGCGTGCAGCCTCGTTCTGTGGACGATAAACCAGGTGCAGACTTCCATCTGTGTCACCTCTGATGAGGAAATACAGCGAGTGCTGGACGGAGCAGTGAGTGACAACAACCCTGCCCACATTTAAGAGGACTGTCTGAACACACTGAGGGTCTAGGTACCATGTCTGAAGGCTTACTGCTGGTTCCAGAGGGACTGGACTGAAAGGGTTTGGTGGAAACAGAGCTTTTGTGTAGATGAACTGTGGTGAACTTTCCTCTATTTAACTAGTGCCTAGATACCCTACGTCTCCCCCTGGCAAAATTCTGCCAGATGACTTAAATTACATCATCCGGTGGAGTTTCACCGGATAAAACTCCACTCCACAGTCCACTTCAAAACTGTTTTGAACTGGACTGGAGTGTGGAACAAGAGACTGGAAGATGTGCAGTCGGTGTGCCTAAAGTCTGCACGGTCACAAAATATGGGCTGGATTAGCAGGATCCATTACAGACCATCGCAGACATGGTTGGATGACGACATTTAAGTCGCAGACACATGGATGCGGAAACTGAATTGGCCTTGAAGAGTGAAAGGTTTGGGAAGTGGATGTGTCAGTCAGACACAGGACTTCCCCCCAGGAGACCAGTGTTCATGTCCTGTATGAAACCAAGTGACCTTTGCATTATTGTCAGGTACGTTGCCACCTTAAATTAAGTCCATAGCTTAATGTTAAGTACATCATGTGACAAGGTCCAATCATGATTTTTTTTTCCTAAACCTAATTTACATAACTTTACTTTCCCAAACCAAACCTATGTATTTTATCAAACCTAACTTACTTACTTTTGCGTTCCTAAACCTAACCTACGTAAATTAACATTAGGTTTGTAATGTGATGAAGCCCAACCATAATTCTTTTGCTAGAACCTAACCTACATATCTTTACTTTCTTACACTTAATTTACCTTAGTTACGTAACTTCCCTGAACCTAACTTACGAATCTTTACTTCATCAACCCTAACCCACTTATCTTTACTTTCCTCAACCTAACCTACGTAACTTTACTTTCTGAGACTTAACCCACGTAATTTTACTTTTCCAAATGTAACGTACATAACTTTACTTACCTAAACCTAATCTATGTAACTTTACTTTCCTCAACCTAACCTTCGAACTTTACTTTCTGAGACTTAACCAACGTAATTTTACTTTTCCAAATGTAACGTACATAACTTTACTTACCTAAACCTAACCTACGAACTTTACTTTCTGAGACTTAACCCACGTAACTTTACTTTTCCAAATCTAACGTACGTAACTTTACTTTCCTACACCTAACTGATGTAACTTTACTTTACCAAACCCAACACACCTATTTTTACGTTACCAAACCCAACCTACGTAGCTTTACATTAGGTACATAACATTGTGAAGCCCAACCATGATTCTTTACCTAAACCTAACCTAACCAGTATAGGTGCTAATTCATGGGGCGCTTATTTGTTAGGTATTGTACGAACTGTTGTATGAGGATATGTTGTCCACAGACATTTGAAACACATTACAAGGGACTCAACTAATGTTACCTTAACCTAACGTAAACACAGATTAGCATGTCACTTGCCAAAATGCTTGGGAACTACAAGTTTAATCTTTTTTAATTCATTGTGCTTCATAAGCTCATCAGATGTTTTTATTGTAATATCTTCATTTAAAAAACTAACTAATAACCGCTGTCAGAATTAGTACAGAATTATTGTGCTATGAAATTTAGCAGAGTTGTGGAATAAAATAGGATAAAAAAGTATATACGCAAATACAGCATTTGAACAAATGTACTTTGTTGTAGTAGTAGCCTAATTGTAGTTGCAGAGTGCAGCAGACGGAGTGCGTGATATTTAAGCTGTAACCTGTTTCCCCCTCTCATAGTTCACTTTAACGACAGTAGTGGCATCACCATTTTGTCTTGTGCTGATGAGATGAGAGTCGACAGATTTAGTTAAACAGCAAAAGAGAGAGAGAGAAAGGAGGAGAGAGGCAGAGAGGGGGAGGGAGGCGGAGCGAGGCTCAGGCTCCAGTGTGTGATGAGGAGGCTGCCAGTGAGGAGGAGAGTACCGGAGAGGATGCTGGATGTTGAGACGGAGCTGCTGGCGGTAGATTTTCAGTCACACTAACCTGAAGCAGCTGAGACCTGACAGAGAGATAAAAAACAACAGCACATCTGTGTGAGAGCGTCAGGTAAGACCAGACAGTTATTAAATAATTAAATCTTCTTCAAAAGGTTCATTGATACTGTTTTTATGATGGAAAATATCCTTTTAGTTTGAACTTTTTAAAATTTTGTTTGGTTCTCAGCAGCATAAACAGCCTGCACATTTGAATTAGTCAGTGGATCAGTCACAGTAAAATGTCATTACATCAGCAATACTTCTCCAATGACTGTCAATAAATTAAACATTAAAAATCAGCTTAATTTAAGGGAGAATTTCTGATATTTCCCCCAAAGTCCTTCTGTATACCGTCATATAATAAAAACCATTTAATTATTTAAATGTAAAAATAATTTTAACATGATTTTGACTGCAAAAAGATATTTTTTGTATATTTTTATGTTTAAATATTTATGATATATGCATTTTATTTTCTCAAAATTCCATATTCACAGATAGCTGACGTCATGTGAGTGACATGCTATGATGCAGAATTCCTGTAGCCTACCTAAGAAAGATTTATACCTTATGATTATAATGAATTTTTGATGGTGATACAGATATCAGTCGGCTATTTGTAATATTTTAAAAAGTCTGATAATATTACACTGGCACATATTTGTGTTTTCTTTTATTTATATTTATCTGATTTTCATAGACATCAAGCAACAATGACATTTACAACGACAACAAAATACATAAAGCACATCTAAATAGTTGTCATATTCTGAATGTGCATTACTACAGTTATAGATTATGTGTATGTTAAGTATATGTTTGAGAATTAATCTTTTGGTTATCTTCAGTGGCATAATATCTGTTTTTAACACACACACATCATGTAAGCAAACATTTTGATAAAGAAGTAATACATTTGGTGGTCGAATTATGATACTTTGGACAGAGCCAGGCTGTTTCCCACTTTTTACAGTCTCTATGAGCTAAGAGCACTCGGCTTCCATGCAGAAGGTCCAGGGTTCGGATCCTGCTGGGGTCGACGTCAGCAAAGGCATGCAGCCACAAGAGGTTCCCACTGCTGAATCAAACGGGAACAGATTAATCTGAGCCATGTCCTCAACGGGGGCGCGTCGGGAGGTTCCGGACGTAAAAGCGGATTCATGCTAAGCTAAGATGTAGCTACATATTTAGCGTACAGACGTGCAAGTGGTGTCATTTTTTATCTTCAAAAACAGCAAATTAAACATATAGTCCTGCACATAATGCCCTCTAAAACCACAACTTGTCATTTTTACACTTTGTTTTTTGTGTGAATTAAGCCAAGATGTTAATAAGGGAACTTTAGAGGTGCTAGTAGTCGGATTTTGTTACCTTTGGTCAGAGCCAGACTAGTTGTTTCCCAGAACACCTCTAACAGGAGGCGCCCAGGAGGATCCTGATCAGATGTTGAACCACCTCAACTGACCCCTTTCAACATGAAGGAGCAGCGGCTCTACTCCGAGCTCCCTCCAGATGTCTGACTCCTCCCCCTATCTCTAAGGCTGAGCCCAGACACGTCACATTTTGGCCGCTTGTATCTGTGATCTCATTCTTTCAGTCACTACCCAGAGCTCATGACCATAGGTGAGGGTTAGAACGTAGATGGACTATTAAAACAAAAGCTTCACCTTCTGGCTCAGCTCCCTCTTCACCACAAGGGTCTGTCGCAGTGCTGATGCCACCCCAAACCACTGATCCGTCTCACGTTTCATTCTAGCCTAACTCATGAACAAGACCCCAAAATACTTGAACTCCCTCGCTTGAGGTAGTAACTGTCTCCCAACCTGGAGAGAAGAACTGTTTCTTTATAAAATGACTGTTGAATAGTGGAAAATAAAAGTGTGAGTCTCACACCAAAGTTGTCAAAATCCGACACTTGGGCAGTGACTTCCGGCATCAGGTACTGACGAAAAAGCCGTCCTTTAACGCCGGCATGATACGCAGCCGGTTGCCGTCATACTTAACAGTGCTCGGTGGCGTCGGGGGGAAACGCGATGGGACAAGGACGAAAGTTAGGGCGACAAAAGTCCGAGTAGGGTGGGTAGAAGGGTGGTGGATGGGTCCAACAAATAACGACTGTCGTAGGGCTTTTATTTTGAAGGAGATTGTATGTAACTGGTAATTCTCCTGTGGAAACAGAAGTGTATTTTGAAAGAAGACAATGCATGTAACAGGCTGAAGTTGACACTGTGTCCCAGAACATCAACAACCAACACACCCAGGGTACCTTGGACGTCATATGTGGACATGGAAAGTCCGTGATGAGGTCGCAGTGAGAATGTGTTGGCACAGAGGAGAAATCTTTACGTTATAGACTCTGGTCAGCTCCGGAGACACTGTCAGCACAGTGAGATTTTGTTTATAGGCTACAGCACCTTTTAAACAAGTTACAAAGTGCTTCACAGGGTACAGATGCAGAAAAATAAAATAGCTACACAGAAAGGACTCATACGAATACAGAGGACGAGATTTGGGAAGTTCTGGAAGCAGTTTAGACTCAGCTGATGTCACAGAGGAGGTGGAGACACATCCAGAGGAACTAAAGCACCATCACCTTTGGATATGCAGAGGGAGCTGGGTATGAATAAAAGACCTTGGTTGGATGATCTGAGTGGCCTAGAGGTGGTGTAAGCATGCAAGAAGACCATGTCGAGCTGTGCATGAGATAAGCAGTATCTTGAAGTCTATTCTGTACTTTACAGGGAGCCAGTGAAAGGAGTGGAGGAGCGTGCAGCCTGCTGGCTAACATGTAGTGGCAGCAGTGAAGTCAAAGCTGAGAGGGAAAGAGAAGACGAAGCAAATGAAGCTCAGTGTGTGTGCGTGAAATCGATTTGCAATGCTGTAACACTCACTTTTTATTTGGTCTATCATCCTCAGCCACAGTCGGTTTTATTGAGCCCCCTCTTCTTTCCCATGCTCCCTGTAATCCCTGCTGAATGCTCCTTTTGACCCCCAATCAGCTGTATTGACTGTATTGTGTGTGAGGTGGGTGGTGGTGGATTATACAGGCTGCTGAGTGCTCAGGTGCTGACTGATGTGGCTAATGTGCTTGAGCAGAGACGGTTCACGCCGACTCAACACCCCCTGCCTGCTGAACTCAGGGGAAATATTTCTTACTGAGGTTTTTTTTTTCCTCGTGTCTGTGCTTTTTGAGATGTTGGCATTCAAGACTTAATTGTCTTTAGTGCTGCTTTCTGGAGCAAAACAGCTCAGCGGCAAAATAAGTGCTGTCAGTATGAGGCTAATTAGACGTCGTCTGTTTAAGATAATGAAAGTTTAATGTAAATCAGTCTGTTAGAGGGCCAGTTCACCCAAAATACAAAAACATATTTATTCCTAGGACACCCCGGCATCCTGGGAATTATTAAAGGGATGATTTACATTCAGTGCAAAACAATCATTGGTGAGAGCAAGATGGAAAGTTAAAGTCTCAAGGCAAATGAGTCGAACGCAACTGGACTTAGTTTTGTCTTAGAAGACATTTCACCTCTTATCCAAGAGGCTTCATCAGTTGATGCTTGTCTGACTAGGCTGGAAAAACCCAGGTATTTAACCTCTGGAGGTCTTCACAAGGCCAATGATGCCATTGGTTCGTTAGTGCTCCAAAGGTGTGTCAACGACGGTAGTTGAAACTCCTGCTCTACCGGTGGTCGTTGGAGTCGTTAGAGTCACATGAGGCCATTTGTGAACGACCATTGTTTTTAGAGGTTAAGCTGTTAAATCTCCTGCACAAGGATGAAAGGATAGCATTATAGGTGGGGGATAGGTGGTGTCGCAGACCTCCTCCTCTGTTGAGAGATGGCTTTTCCAATTTCACATATAGGCTTCTTTTACACCTCTTTCAAACCATCTGTCTTCCCTGTCCAAAATGTGCACGTTGCTGTCTTCAAAAGAGTGTGCTTTCTCCTTGAGGTGTAGATAGACAGCTGAGTCTTGCCCTGTCGAGTTAGCCCTTCTGTGTTGGGCCTAGTGGTTGTTTTGTTTCACCAATGAAAGTAAAAGTATGGAGGTGGGGTGGAGAATGGATCAAATCTGATGCTCATGTCCTGTGAAGATTTGCACTCAATGGATGACTTTTTTTCTCATATCTACGTTTTTTTCCTGCCTTTTACCAATTGTTTCAATCTCTCAGCCGTAACCATACCTGAATCATCACCTCATTCAGTTTAAATCTGACACCAAGTAATATACGGTGACTGACAAAAGCAAACCAATGTTCTGTTGACGAACGCTATGATGAAAACTTTTCATCAACGACTTTCTTTCCACGACAAAAACGAGACAATGACGAGCTACAAATAGATCTTGATAATAAAAACTGAGACAAAATTTATGCTTAATTTTTGTTGACGAGACAAATGAGACGAGACGTGACACTGAAAGCTGAGAACGGCTGTGCTTGAAATATTCTTCAAAAGCCGCATGAGCAACAGGCTGGTAACTCCAGTAAATGGTCTGCACCAGGATGTTTCAATTAGTGCGAGTTGTGAGCTGTAATTCAGCAGTAAATAATCAGCTGTGTGTGTCTGACTGTGGATGGTGGAGCTGCTGAATGGATGCAGCGGTGGCTGTTAGCAGTTAGCGGATAGCTCCGCTTGTTAGCTGCTGAATGGCTGATCATCATTATCCCCAGTGGTGGAATGTAACTAAATAGATTTACTCAAGTGCAGTATTTAAGCACATATTCAAGGTACTTATACTTTACTTGAGTATTTTCATTTCATGCTGGTTTATGGTTGTACTCATCACCACATCTCAGAGGTAAATATTGTACTTTATACTGCACTACATTTGTCTGACAGCTTTAGTTCCTTCCTCTCCAGTAAAAAACACCTATATCCAGATGTGCTGATGTTGAATGTTTGTGATAAGCTGAAGGATGAAGTGTTTCTTTATGTGCTGAGAAAATTCTCCTTCTTCTTAAGCTAAATAAACTCTTTAAAAACCTTCTTGGATCAGGTGGAAAATGCATCGTCACCAAGCTGAAAACAGGCTGTTTTTATGACATCATGAAAACTTGACTTTTTGATT